TCATCGGAGGTTGGGGGGAGAGATCGAAGTGGAACGGAGAGCCCCCCTACCGGGAAATCGATTTCGGTTTCGTGTTCGTGCGTGCCGTGCGGGCGAGGCGAAGCTGGGGGTGCGTGCGTGCGTGCCGTGCCGTGCGTGCCGTGCGTGCCGTGCCGTGCCGTGCCGTGCGTCGTGGGCGGGCGAGAGAAAGTCTCCTGTGGCTGAGGCGCGGCCGGAGCAAAAGAACCTTGACCGGGCGGCCAGTGCACCGCGGTGTCCCGCCGGTCTCCCGCTGGTGTCCCGTGTGGCTGAGGCGCGGCCGGGGCAAAAGAACCTTGACCGGGCGGCCGATGCCGCGCGGTGTCCCGCCGGTGTCCCGCTGGTGTCCCTTCGGTGTCCCGTCGGTGTCCCGATGATGACGTGGATGATGATGATGATGGTGATGATGATGATGGTAATGATGATGATGATGTTGATGATGGCGATGCTGATAATGATGTTGGTGTCGTTGATGATGATGATTATCATGATGATGATGACGTCGACTGTGAGATCGATTGTGGTATCGATTGTGAGACCGAATGTGAGATCGATTGTGCAATGCTGATGGTGATGATGGCCATGATGGTGATGATGATTGTGATGATGATGACGACGTTGATGATGATGATGATGGTGCTGATGATGATGATGACGCGGATGATGATGTTAATGGTGATGTCGATGATGGTGATGACGGCGTCGATAGTGATATCGATTTTGAGATCGGTAGTGAGACCGGATGAGACAGCGAATGAGGTCTTCTCTCAGGGTCTCCTCCACCACGCACCCCTCGGTTCTGGACCTCTCCTTTTCCCTCCTCCTCCTCCCCATTTCAGCTTCCTCATCCTTCGAGGGTCTTGGGGGCCATGATCAGCCATGACCATCGGCGTCGTGGTCGTCGTCGCCGTCGGACCGCAGCCCATCGCGGTTCTGCCTTCGGACACTCCGCCCGGACCTTCGGCCGGTGCCGCCTCCATGTCCGGTGCCTCACGCATGTTCAATCGATAGTGCAAGAGGCGGCGCGGGCTGCGCCAAGCTTTGCCAGCGCTTCAGTCCTCTGTGGCCAAATGGCGCCGTTAGCTGCCGTTGCGCAGGTTGGGCAGGTTCCCAGGGGAAGGGTGACGTAAACAACTCGACACCAACGCCCCCAAGAGCGAGCGGCAACGCAACTATCTCCACTGGCATTGTCACAACAACATTCACCACTGTTGCCCATTGCTGGGCCCGCCCCCCAACCTCCTTATCACCCGCAGGGTGGTCGTATAGGTATTCGTATCCCCCTCGTCCTCCTCCTCCTCCTCCTCCTCCTCATTCCAGTCCGTCCACTCCTCCCTTCACTTCTCAACCTCTTCATCCTCCTTGTCCTCCCACTCCTTCCACACCTCCCAGTCCTCCCTTCCTCCTCCCTTTACTCATCCTCCTGCTCCTCCCCCTCCTTCTCATCCTCATCCGTCTCCGCATCCGCTTCCCACCATCACCACAACCACCATGATCGACATCATCGTTACACTTATCATGGCCCTCCAAGTTGCACCATAGTCACTACACTCATCGCCATCAACATCATCATCACCATCATCATCAGCATCATCATCACCACCACCGCCAGTATCACCACCATCAGCATCACCATTATCATATTCATCATCAGCAGCATCACCAACATCATCATCACCAACATCATCATCACCATTGGCATCTTGATCAGCAGGATCATCATCAGCATCACCATCATCGTCATCATCATCACCATCATCGCCATCATCATCATCATCATCATCATCATCATCATCATCATCATCATCATCATCATCATCATCATCACCAGCATCATCATCATCAGCGTCGACATCATCATCGGCTGCGACATCATCACCATTATCGTCGTAGCCGTCGACGCCTTTGTCATCATCAACATCACCAACCTCATCATCATCATCATCAGCATCATCATCATCAGCATCATCAGATTCATCACCATCACCGTCCTGATGTTGATCCTCATCCTCATTATCAGCCTCATCCTTACTCTAACCATCCCATCATATTTACCGCATTGATCATCATCGTCGTCGTCACCAACATCATTATCATCATAGTCACCACCAGCATCATTATCCGAATCAAGCATCATGGTAATCATCCTCATCACCATCATCATCAGCACCATGATCGTCCTTATCCTCATCCTCAACCTCATTATCAGCCTCATCCTCATCCTAACCATCACCATCATCTTCATCATGCTCATCATCATCATCGTCGTCGTCACCAGCATCATTATCATCAGATTCACCACCACCATCATCATCCGTATCAAGCGTCATCGTAATCATCCTCATCACCATCATCATCATCAGCATCATCATCATCTTCATCCTCATCACCACCATCATCCTCATCATCGTCGTCATCATGATCGCCATTATCATCATCATCAACAACATCATCAGCATCATCATCTCCGCCAAAAGCATCCCCATACCATCATCAGCGGCAGCAGTGTCATCATGCTCGTCGTCATCATCGTCGTCGTCGTCCTCATCATCATCACCATGATCACCACCCCTCACCATCGCAGCCATCGCTATCGCCTTCGTCAGCGTCGCCATCACCATCTTCATCGTCCTACTCAACATCATCATCAACAACACCACCACCACCAAATTCGACATCATCCTGATTCGCATTGCCGGTCCGATGATTACCAGGATTAAACTATGAGCCTTTCTTGCTTTTGCGACCAGTGCGAGCGGCGATGGCATCTACGACGGCAGCGACGGCGGCAGCGGCGGCGGCGGCGCCCGCTCCTGCGAGAAGTTGGCGTCGCCCGGGCAGCAGCCCTCCTCGGCGGCCGCGCACGCCTCGCTCGGCGGGGGGGGGGGAGAGCAAGCGGGGGAGGAGGAGGAGAGGTAGGGAAGAGGGGGAGGGGAGGGGAGGGAGTGGGGAGGGGGAGGGGGATGAGGAGGAGGGGGAGCCGAGGAGGAGGAGGAGGAGGAGGAGGAAAGAGGAGGAGGAGGAGGAGGAGGAGGAGAATGAGAATGAGAATGTCTGTTCACTAAGTGAGGAAAACGGAGCCTAGACCGAGGGAGGGAGACCACGCCTGAGATCAGACCGTCTAGCCTTCTCGGCTCTACTTAGCACTTTGGGCCACTGACCTTGGCGGATCAACTTCAAATAACCCTCTCCAATCGGTGTGGCTCGGGAACATTCTTTGCGGAGGTTACGGTTCTGCTGACTGGCGAAGAACCCACACCTCCCGCAAAACCAAAGACCCAACTTCGTGCTAAGATTCATGGCGTGTGTATCGTGCACCCAGTCTCCAGCCACGTGCAACCTATGTCCGTCAGGGACCGTATGGAAATCCCCATTCAGGTTGAGGGGCTTGAAACAAGAGCTGCTTTTCCAGACCTCCAGGCGCCCCAAAGAGGCCGAGCCCATACAGCGCTTGCACTTACGACCACTGTCGTCCAACACGTGACAGGTCGAGAAAAAAGAGACCGCACTCGGAACAGGCACGGGAGCTACAGCAGGAGGAGGGGGAGGAGGAGGAGGAGACCCGCCTTCCTTCCTCCTCTCCAAGTCCTGAAGCTCGCTGGCCATGGAGTCTGCGGCAGCGCGCAGGAGCCTGTGTCTCACCAGGAAGGCCTGTCGCTCGATGTCCAGCACACGATGACGGATCGCAGGGGCCAGTCGAACTTCGGCCGCCATATCGCCAACCAGTTCATCTATGGTAGAGTTGCCCAGCACCTTCCATCACTCAGCTCGTCCATCAACGATATCACTCCCAGACAAGTGTGAGTTGACGAACTCCACGGAAACATCATTCACATCACGTGTTCTCATCAAAATCTGAATTTGGGCCCACACATCTGCATCAGCACCCCGAGGATCTGAGTACTTGCATTCAGCCCAACCCTTGGATACATTCTCACAATCTGTGATATAATGAATGGGGCCTGCACTGGCCCATATGGCGAGCCACAAAGATCTCAACTCTCCTCTGGCCACAGACTGCTTCAAGCCTGGCAAACCCCCGACGATGTGAGCACCCACAACTGGAGGATCATAGCTTGACGTCACAACCACACCCATGGCCACCCTGCGCAAACGTGGATCAGCCGTATCAGGGCCTCCACCTGCATCTCCGAAAATAATTGTAGGACGTTCTGCCGTGCCTCGGGGGAGGCAGCCAGGCTCGACATCAACAATCCCACTGTACTGCCACTCATCAACCAGCTGCGGGTCTGGGGTTCGCGTCCAAGGTGCTGGAATCAGGCCTCTGAGCCAGAAACATGCAGACGCCTCGTGCTGGGATTGGGCAGAAGAATACAACGTGTCACTGGCTTCGTAGCTCGGCGAATCCTTGTTACAACTGCAAGCCCAGGACCGATGACACGAGGTCTCCACATCACTCTTGCAACGAAGACATGTCATGAAATCCTGCAGTTCCGACTCACTCTTTGCACGATGCTCGGAAAGGGTCCCCTTGCGACTCCGAGGCCATGCGCCGCCGACAGCAATGGAGAGTAGAAGACCTGCGAGCCTCGCACCTCCAATTTGAATAGTGCCCAATTGTTCCAAAAGACGTCTCAGAGACCATGTATCGATACCATATTGAATGCCTTCTCCGTCAAAGTGCTGAGCCGCCTGTGACCAATGGGGTGACATGGCAGCTGCACGCACATCAGTCAGAAAATCGTCAAAGTTGTCCAATGCTTTCACACCTGAAAATCCGTCGGCTGGGAAGCGCCAGTCATGATCCGATGCAGGTATGACCCAATCAGTAGGACCGCGCGGCACCCAACCAAAGGATAACATATACGTGATAATCGCAGACAGCGGTCCATGTACATGCCGTGAACGCTGAGTTGCTGGTACGCCTTGTAACTTGTCAACAACCTTGGCCCATGCACGCTCCACAGACGATCTGATCTCAGAATGATCCCGCCACTGCTGAAGCCACAGGGCAAACGTGCCGTGTGCAAACTTCTGGGCGGGATCATACTCGGGGAACCGAATAGCCAGCAGTGACGTTAAGCATCTACCCTTAGTACGCACCTGGCAGGAAGCACCGAGCCTCCGCCGATTTTGAAGAAGGTACTGGCCGAACGCCCCGTGCAGCTGGCAACCGTAACTGCCCACGGCTTGCCCCCCCTGCTTCTCCAGACGTGAAGATATCTTGACCTTGCGCATTGCGACGGTGTACCTGCGGACCTGCTTGTGACGGGCCACGTGCTTGACAATACGCTTCACTCTCTGCTCCCGCGTGTGCCGCCGTCCTGCGCCGAGATCAGCACCAAGGTAAACACAACTGCGCGCCGCTGTCATGTGGATGCCCTTCCTACGGAGGGCCATGACTACATCAACTGCATCTGAATAATGGCTGCAGACCACCACTGATTCAGAAGCTATCTTGAGCCCTTGACCGTGGAAGCCCTCGGCGGTATCCGTTATGCATTTCACCAAATTGATTCGTGCTTGTCGTCGTGAACCTCTCGTCGCTTGGGATAGATCATCGATCCATAGCCTGTGGCTGCAACGGATGTTCGCCTTGCACAGTTTATCCATCACGAAGAATGTCATAATGCGCGCGAAGCGCGCCCCAGAGCGGAGGCCCTGGATTCTAGAACGTGTGACCTCGAACGGCACCGAAAAAGCGGACAATTGATTCAGAGTACGTGGGCATGCACATTGAACCAGCTCAAGGCAAAGTACTGTAGGTGGGAATTCCAAGCGCACTGCAGCACGAACGAGTTTGAGACAGAACATCGTGTCGTAATATGATTCAATGTCCGTCAAGCTGTGGCCGTATGGGATGTCCAAAATCGCTGACACCTCTTCATCATGGAGCCTCCTAAATGCTTCTTGCAACGACGAGTTGCCTTTGACGGCAGCATCCCAAGAAGGCTCCGTATCCGCCGTCCATTGCTGGACCCAAGGCTCACGCGCTTTGCTCCGCACCCTTCCGAGCATAGATATGAGCCCAATAATTCATTCCCCTGAGGCCTTTTTGGGCAGGAGCTTGCCAATAACCACTAACGTTTGGGCAGGCCAGACGAGCAGGGACTCCGCGCAGTTGAGGAGATCAGCGAGAGCACCGAGACCCACACCAGGGAGACGCTCAAGATCCCCAGGGGACACCCGATCCACGCCTAGGCCCGTCTTACTCTTCATGCCACGCAGAGCACGCCGTAGATCACTGACACCCAGGGGAGGTAGGGGATCAGGATTATCACGAACTGCATCTCGCACAATACCCAACACCGACGCTAAGGCCGCCTCGGGATCGGTAACCTCTGGGGCCCAAACCTTACGTCATTTCCTGGATTTAAAATCTATGATGTCCTTCGGGTGAACTACCAGGTGGCCGTCATCATCGAGGAAATCGAGAGGAGGAAGAGGGTCCTGCCGAGTAGCCCTGCGCAGGGTACCCAGAGCTTCCGACGACGATGCCCACTCGCGGAACTCCTTGAGCGACGCTGCCGTCGCTCGCCTCTGACTGCGCTTGGCAATCCTATCAGCCCAGGTAGAGAAACGCAGCAACGTGTCGAGGGACGCCTCCGAAACGGCAGGAAGCAGCTTCAACCATTCAGACCACCCAGCCTCCAGACCATCGCGAATATTGCAATGGACCTGCTCAGGGCGATCTTCAACTAGGCCTACGCACGCTTTTTCCAGTTGCCGTTGTTGGGACAGCCCGTTACCACGACTGCGATGCTTATGAATCCCCACTAGTACAGTATGCAATCTAGCCCACCAATTAGAGACCGCATCCCGTAACGGAGCCGACCGATACTTATGATTCACCTGCACCTCATGGACTACGAACCGGGGAACGTCAGCACGGGACACACCATGAGGCTGTCCTTCCCGATGATGCGCTAGGATAGTGGCCTGTAAAGTCTTTACCCAAGAAGAATATATTCCACTAACCAGACAACATCCTTCAGGGTCAACCTGGTAGACGGCCGACTGCTGGATGTAAGGAGGGAGGGAGAGAGAGGAGAAACTCTGGAAACCTACCGAGGCTCTCTGGGCCTCCCAAAATTCGGCAGGAATGTTATAAGAAACCGCTTCAGCACTGCTATGTGGGCTAGAGAACTGGGTCGAATTAAGGACCGTAGGCTCGGTAACAGGGTCCGACGAACACGGAGCGGTCCCCACGAGCACCGACGAGGCCCCGAGACCGCCCCCAGGAGCCGACATGTTCGTCTGACCATCCGTACTCGAGCCAGGTCCTAAAACGCCAGGGGATTCAATGGTAACCTCATCACGCGTCGAGGTGAAATTAAACTCATCAGCCCACGGATCTTCCTCAGAACAGAATGATTCAACCTCGATCGCTTCACCGACATCGGTCGCGTCACTACTAGGGGAGGACCTGGAGGCAGGGTTGAGAGCGGCAAGACAATCACTGAAAAATCGATCATACTTTTCCTCACGCTTCGCTGCCGCTTCCTGGCGAACAAGGTTTCGCTGTGCACGAGCTTGGCTGGCCTTAGACCCGATTGTCGGTTCTGTGCCAGGACGAGCCATCTGAGGTAATTTCGGTGCCGGGACTAGCGAGCGTGAGAGCAGCTGTGCCCCTGCCTGCCTGATCTGCACCTCGATGCCGATGTGAGTCTTCCAGGGGACCGAGAAGACTGGCTTGACTGCCTTCACGTACGAGAGCGCCGACGTGCTGCACATAACGAAGTCGATCATGCTGCCATTCGCTCCCGAATCGCACGTGTATTGAACATCAGGTGTCAGCACATGCCCTCCAACTCGGGCTGCAAATTCTGACTTGGTGACTGCAGCTGCCGGGACATTGAAGTCCCCCACAACCACCCACGGCAATTGAAGAGCATGCAGAAATGCGCCTAGGCGCTGGTAGCGTAGTAGGTTGGGCCCTGTGAAGCCCATCGAGTTGATGCCGTAAAAACAAACTAAGACGAAAGTGTAACCGGCCATGTGGACGACGGCGGGCATCATCCCGCCCAGAACTCGTCCTTCTCCAGCTCGAACGACTTGTGTGCTGCACAGAGTCTCAAAACTGCGTACCTGCAAATGGCCTCGACTGACGATCCACTCTCCACCTTCATTGGCACGAGCCTCCTGACTAGCAGCAACGGTGCGAAACAGATGATCCTCGCGAGCGGGGTCGGCATGCAATCGAAGTCCCTCACCTCGTGCAAGCTTATCCCATGTACGAAGACCCTTCCGAGAAACATGCGTCTCCGCAACTGCAATGAGTGAGTGCGCCTCCTTCTGGCTGAGTAGATACTTCCAAATCTTGTCACTCATGCATGTGACATTCCCAAAGAGCAAAGACGTTACAGCTTCACCATCCGAATCATTAGTAGGAGCCAAGTCCACTGACGATTCACCCGACGATGGAGAAGCCGACGAAGAGGGAGAGGAAAGGGACGACTGCATGCTCGTGCTGCCTCGCGGACCCGTACTGATGCTGTCCAGTGATGGTCCACCCGTCGAGGGACACGAACTAGAAACCGTGCAAGGACTGGGACTGCTCGCCGCTGTCCCGCTCGACCGTCCTGCAGGAGTCGAGCGAGACGGCGATCTGCGTCACATGGTCGCGAAACCCTTGCCGCTCGACTTGGCGGCGTCAGTGGACTGACCCTTGCCATTGGCGGTGGCCGCAGCCTTCGCCGCAGCAGCAGCCGTCGCGGCAGCGAACTTGGCCTGCGAGATCTTCTCCGCCTCCGCCTGCACAGCCGCTGCACGGGCCTCAGCTGCCGCCGCGCCCTCCGCCGTCGGCGAGGCCTCGGCCGCCGTGGCAGAGGAGCGGCCGTCGCCCGAGCCTGCAGGCGGCGCCGCCTCGGCTGTAGGCGGCGGAGCCTCTGCCGAGTTGCCGCCAGCGGCGGCCTGGTCGTCGGGCTTCGCCTGCTCGGCCGCGGCACCGTCGACCCTGCGTTTCTTGCCCATGCGCTCCTGCACCTGCTTGCGCACCTCCTTGGCTCTATCGAGCCAGCCCTGGATCTCCTTCTCGCGAGCCCCCAAGTTCTCCTTGGCGGCTTTGAGCTCCTTTTCAAGCTGCTCCATGATGGCACGTTCACTCTCTTCGAACTCGCCAGCCGCATCCTGGAAGATCGACTCATCCCACGAGAGGTTGAAGATGTGGCCGTCGTCGTCGGGCTTCGACTGCGAGTTGCCCTCCACGACGCCCTCGGACTGGGCCAGCCTCTTCGCCGCTGCCTGCTTGGCCGCCGTGGCGGTGGCCAGGGTGACTGCGGCTGTCTTCTCCTTGCCCTCCGCCAACTCGAGCTGCTTGCGGATCCGCATGACGGAGTTGACGGCTTGGCTATGTTTCATATCTGCATCGCGCCAAGCCGCATCGGCCTTGCGCACCTCCTCTGCTGCTGAAATCGGTGCACCTGCTTCGACCTGCCTCTGGCTCTCCAACTTGTTCAGCTCCGACTGGAGAGACGACCTGATGGCAGGATCTGCGGTCGCCTTGATCGCCTCGGCCAAGAGGGTCTCGGCGCTCAAGGGGCCTTTCACCTGGGGCTTCAGGGCAGACTTCAACTTCCCTTGGTGATCTGTCGCTAGGTAGTTATCCTTGTCATTGGCGAAGGAAACACGCTTCGGCGACTTCGAGCGAGGGGTGTAGAGCCTGACCGACTTCGAACACCTGGTACACTTCTTTTCAGAACGCTCCAAGATGTCATTCCACTCGTTCTTGCCGCAAGATCGGCACCGTGTGTACAACCTTGTGGCGGGATTCGACATTGCTGTTCGCACTGCTTAGCCACCGTACGCGCTGGCCGCAACTGGGCTGCGGGCACGGGCCACTCAAGCACCACGCTGAGGTGCTGCCAAAATGGAGTTCTGAGCCCAAGTTGCTTGAGAGGAGGAGGAGGAGGAGGAGGAGGAGGAGGAGAAAGGGATGGGGAGAAATGGAGGGGGAGGAGGAGGAGGAGGAGGAGGAGGAGGAGGAGGCGGCTGCGTTCGAATCGAGCCCCGTGGCCCAAAGCCATCATCGTGAGCTTGCGTGAAAAAGAGGAAGAGGAGAAGGAGGAGGAGGAGAAGGAGGAGGAGAAGGAGAACCCGTGGAAACCCAAGAGTCATCAACGATGTTGCAATTAACCCTCCCTTCAAGCCCCCCCATCCATAGACCCCTACAACGGTTCATTTCCATTGAGGGAACTGCCACGTTGGGAGACAGCAGTTTGAAAACCCTGAAGCGTGCCAAAGCATTGTTCTCGGGATTTCAACGCCACGTAACAACCTGACTGCTGCGTCTTGGCGATCCAGAATCGTGCCAGAACGCCATGTTTGGGACTTCCACACAGCGAATCGAAGTAACTGTTGCGCCCGCATAGTCCGGAATCCTTCCAAAACACAATTTCTGGTATGCTGATCATGGGAATCCGTGAACATCTTTCACTTTTGAAAATAAATGCACGCGGCGCGAGATCCAAATTTAAAAAAAAACACCCGCCCTCAATCCGTGAAACCCTTGCAAATGCTTCAAACAAATGTGCGAGGCGTTACGGCGAGAACCACATTTTGAAAACCATCCGCCCTCGATCCGTGAAACTCTTGCACATGTTTAAAGCGAGTGTGCGCGGCGCTAAAGCGAGAACCACATTTTGAAAACCACCCGCCCTCAGTCCGTGAAACTCTTGCACATTTGAAACGAATGTGCGCGGCGCTCAGGCGAGAGCCACATGGTGAAAACCACCCGCCCTCAATATTTGAAACCCTTGCAAATGTTTAAAGCGAATGTGCGTTGCGCTAAAACGAGAACCACAATTTGCAAACCAACCGCCCTCAATCCGTGAAGCTCTGCATGCTTGTTAAAACGAGCGTGCGCGGCGCTAAGGCAAGAGCCACATTTTGAAAGCGACCCGCCCTCCATCCCTGAAACTGTTGTCAATTCTTAAGCTTCAGAATCATAGGTGGTGAGGAAGTATGAAGAGAAACGCCCGGCCCGCCCTAAAAACTGGCCTCGGGGTGCAACAGGGGAGTTATCTAGAATGAGAAGGAATGGAGGAGGAGCAGGAGGAGGAGGAGCAAGGAGGATGAGGAGGAGCAAGGAGGAGGAAGAGAAGGAGGAGGAGCGAGGAGGAGAGTATGGAAGATGATGGTGAGGAGATAATGGAGGAGGAGGAGGAGGAGGAGGAGGAGGAGGAGGAGGAGGAAGAGATGACGCTTATTTTCCTACCTCCATCGTCCATTAAGTCGTGGTCGCCGCTGTAGTTACCTTTTTTTCCTTGCCCCGTATCCTCCCCCTCCTCCTTCTTCTCCTCCTTCCAACTTCCACCTCCTCCCCCACCCCCACCCCCATCCTCCTCCACCTCCACCTCACTCTCCCTCCTCCTTCCCGCCTCCTCGTCTTCCTCCTCATGCTCCTCCTTATCCTAATCCTCCCTTCTTGTTATCCTCCTCCCACCATGCCTCCTCCCCCTCCTCCTTTCACCTCCCCCTCCTCCTTCTCCTCCTCGTCCTTGTCGTCGCCATTGTCGCCCGCTTCCGCCTTGGCCGCCGTCTTCGTCTTCGTCTGCGTCGCCGACGCTTCCTCCTTCTCCGTCTCCTCCTCCGTTTCCTCCTCCTCGCCGTCGCCGCCGCCCCCGTCGTCGCGCTCGTCGTCGCCGCCCCCCCAGCCGCACGCCGCTGTCGTCGCCCCCCGGCGCCCCTCTTGTTTCTCATACCGCCGCAACAGCGGGCCCCGCTGCGAGTCTGTTCCCGGGGCGCGGCGGGGGCTGGCCGCCTCTCGACGGCGGGGGGCGCGCGCGGGCGGCCTCGAGGGAAAACAGGACCGAGGACAGAGAGGCCTCCGAGAGGAGCGCGGATCGAGGCCCGGGGGGCCGAGGCTGCTTCGAGGCGCGCGGAGAGAAGTGGTCCGAGAGGAGGATCGCGGATCGAGGGTCGGGGCTTTTAATTAGAGGCTCGCGGATCGAGAATCGCGGGCCGAGGGTCGGACGATCGAGGGTCGACGATCGAGGGTCGGGCGTCGCAGGTCGAGCGCCGCGTGTCGAGGGCCGAGGAGCCTGTGAGGTCCAAAGCCCGGGCAGCAGGGCGCCCGAAGGGCGTGGAAAGGCCTGTCGAAGAGCCCGGCCATCGCTCGGACGTCCATTCGCTGTGTTTTTTTTGGTTTCGTGCGTGGTTTTTTCGCTAAATGGTCGAGGATGCTCCTCGATGGTCGTCCTCGCCGAAGAAAATGCACACGTCCGAGCGATGCCAAGGAACTCTGAAAGGACCTGCTGGAGAGCTTCCGGGCACGCGCGTTTTGGGAAACGCTCAAAAAAGATCTGCAGGGACTCGCCACAGGTCTTCTCCTTCAGAAGATCTGTGGCGAGTCGGAGAACTCTTCGGGAGCGGCCAAGAGAGGGGTGTCCAAGAGGGGGGGGGGTGCAGATCATGACCGGCGGCATGTGCGCGGCCCAGCGGGGGGGCCAGGGACGTGATGAAGTAAGAAGAGGCGCCATGGAATCTGGGGAAGTATCATGGCCCACGCCATGATATCCACCCCCCCCTAGTCATCACCCCCCTCTTTTCCGCCCCCGAGCTCTGAGAGGACCTGCTGGAGAGCTTCCGGGCACGCGCTTTCTGGGAAACGCTCAAAAAGGATCTGCGGGGACTCGCCACAGGTTGTTTCTTAAAGGTCGAGGACGAGGAGGATCGTGGATCGAGGCTCGAGGATCGAGGCTTTTGAAAGGATCGAGGCTCGAGGATCGAGGGATCGTGGCTCGAGGATCGAGGCTTTTGGAAGGATCGATGCTCGAAGCTCGAGGGCCGAGGGTCGACGATCGAGGGTCGAGCGTCGCAGGCCCAGCGCCGCGTCATGATCGAGAGCCGAGGAACTGCAGCCACATCGTGGAAGCGCGCGGAGGGCCCTCCTCCCCCTCCTGGGTTTACACGGGTCCTCCTCCTCCTCCTCCTCCTCCTCCTCCTCCTCCAGGAGCTGTCTGGGCCCAAAACCCGAGCGAGCTCCCACAGCGCCACATGCCATCACGACCAATGATGTGCGAGGCGTAGAGGGCGGCACGCGAGGGCCAGGGCCGACTTGGGACAGCTCCTGCAAGTCACGATCTACACCACACTCCCCTACTACATATCACCGCAATGAAGCTGATCTATCATAACGTTCAATGGGCAGATTTTACGAGATTGGAGGAGATATCTACACATACGAAATGTACCGACATCATTGTCTGCATAGGCACTGGCCGATGGGCGGAGAGTGCCGACCTGACGGCCACCCAGTGCCAGCTGCCGAACCACAAGTGTGTGCAAATGGGATGGCGTAAGTCGCGCACGACCAACAACTCCTGCGGGATGGCGGTCATGTACGGCAAGCGCATGCAGGGGTCGCTGCAGCAGATCGCGGTACCACCTGCAAAGCTGGGAATCACTGGCCGTGTGGGCATGGCGAGATTTGCGATGCAGGGCGTGTCGATCGCCATCTTCCCGATCTACGTGCCGCCGAAGGGGATGGCAGCTAGCACGCTGCGCCAGGTGACCAAAAAGATACTTCGTTGGATATCGGACGAGATTGACAAGCTGGGACATGCATGTGTACCGATCGTGGCAGGTGACTGGAATTGTGGGTTCGGATACCAAGTGGACCAGACGGGCAAGCGATTCGTGAACCACGACAGCGAGGAAGTAGGCACGGCAGAACTTACCCACGAATCGCAAGTATCTCGATTGGTTCGGGACTTTCTGGAGGAAAATCACCTTAGCATGTTCGATACGTATTGGAAAACGGGACCTACCTATTTCAAAGGACCTCATAGTAGCAAGATCGACCACGTTGCGGGCCCAGCAGCTATGCGAGGCCGTATACAAAGACTGAACACACTGCTGGGGCTAGGAAGGAGATTGCAACGATACATTAGCACCCACCTCCACGACCACGTCCCAGTGCTGATGGAGTTTGACATCAAGCCGCAAGAGGTCTTTCATGGCAAATACACCCCCGCCGTCAATAGAGACGCCATGATGGCAGCGTATACCAGCGGCAGGAGACGCATCGAATATCTTAGAGCGCTGGAGCAGGAGACGATCAACATTCCAGAAGAGCAATGGCGTGAGATATGGGATCGAGGCGACGTACAGTCAGCATGGAGCAAGCTATCGGAAAGCATACGCAAGGCGATGCAGCAGGTCTTCCCCGCCAAGAAGCAGGACATAGTGGATTACGAAGGCCACAGAAAGAGACGAATGGAGTTATTGCAGATGCGCGGACGGCTACGGGGCCAACTTCATGCTACGGGGCTTAAGAGTTTTACGGGAGACGGATACACAGCATTTGATGAGATAGAGGACGAGTTACGCCGACTCTCGCGCCGAATGCAGACCCTTCGCAAGGAGCAGAAGAAAGAGAAAACGGAGACACTAGCTGCAGAGATTTTTAAGGCGTGGAGGCAGGGACGACATGCTGAAGTCCACCGACTGCGGGTCCAACTTGCAGGACGAGGTCGAGGACCAAAAAAGAGACTGTTGTTTGCACCACGGCAGAGTATGACATTGCGTGAATGGAAGGACGGCCTTGGAAGTAAACCTCAAGACGGAGGAATGGATTGCAGACAGATCGACTGGGAGGAGTGGACCGCAGACAAATCCTTCATGCCCCATCTGTACGGCACGCCAGAACTGGCCGAACATGTGCGACAGGACAGAGCTGGCCAAATCACCTATTTGCGACGTGCGCCCAAGCGGCGTGCGGGCCCCGCTTGGGGCGTCCTGGCCGAGGCGCTGTGC